AATTATTGTTTTATGAGGAGCAATCTTTATTCTTAACAGGCAACATACAGACTACAAGAAAGAGAGCCCATTTTCAATTGTAGTTATAACTAACACAAAAAAAGCCATAAACACAAAATGGTCTGCAACTTAAAAGGCTATAAGCCAAAGCATGATAAACTTACGTTCCACCAACTCCCCCACTAAGTTCAGAGCTGATAGGATGAAATGGAAGCTCACAGATCGCAACCTTCAAACACCAATATCAAATTCTTGAGAAAAGGAAAACTGAAAGAGTTCTTTTCAAGGACTAAAAGCAGATAAGTAAACATGTGTGGTAAGAACTGCCAAGGAATAAGAAAAAACATGTATCACCATATATAACAGAACCAACTGAAAGCACAACCCTTGAGAAAGAGAGAAAATAAAAACATCAAAATTTCTAATCAAGCATGTTGCTTATAAATTGCTTCAGTTAATGGAATCCAACAGCTAAAGCCATCAGATGAATAAGACCTTAAAGATGCTGCATCTTAAATTAATGAATATGTGATTATACTGGTTTCTCCATCCACCCATCTATGACTAGATCATTCTAGTCTTAAGGCTCTGTTTAAGTGAGTTCCACAAAGAGAAGCTTAAAATACCACCTGAATAGAATAGTCATGACTTATGATGGGCATCAATTATCAGGTCAAGCTAGTACAGAAGAGACCGCTGAAACCAATAACAATAACAACAACAACAACAACAACATGCCCAGTCCCACATATGAGGTCTGGGGAGGGTATATATGGGATTGGGGAAATTAGTGTGTACCCAAACCTTACCCCTACCTTGTGCAGGTAGAGAGATTGTTTTCAAGAGATCCTCGGCTCAGGCAAACTCAAACCAATAAATAAGGGGACAAATCATTATAACTCGGTACTTATTCTGCTTGCCATTGTTCTTCAATAATGTGAATGGAAATTCATGGCTCATGTATGATAAAGACGCTAAGACCAAATAACCAACAAATAAACCCTGGGGAAAACATTTATTAGCTTCACCATATATTTCAATTTGCCATATCCATCAGCAAAACCAATTAAAATTCAACCATTTCAAGTGACCTTAAAGCTACAGTTGAATGGAAAGATCCCAAAGACTCCGATTCATTGTTTCGAACTAACTACTAAACAACATTAAATTAGAAAAATATGAACCATAAACAAATTGCAGAAGTACTATATACCTTAGCTCCATATTGGGCTGAAAATCGACCAGCTCGAACCCCACCACTTCCAGCGCCTATTACGAACAAATCAAAGTCATAGTGCTGTTCTTCTTGACCGGGTTTGTCCAACTCTCCATCAATCAGCATCTTCCTAGCCATGATTACAAGTCTGTACAAACAAAACCGACAAAGGACTATTATCACAGAACAGTAAAACATCACCACTACTTCCATATCTTGTTTAGCAGCAAAGAAAATGTCAGAAAGAGAAAGGGGAAAAAAAAGAGGAACCCTTGTGATAAGCACATGAGAATTACAAACAAAAAAAAATAAAAAAAATAAAAAAATAAAAAAATAAAAAATACTTAGCGATTCAAAGCCTCATAAACCCCAATATTTGAACTGACCAATTAACTCAAAAGATGCCTAAATTGATAAAGAAGAAACTTTTGTAAATAGCCCAAAAAAATAACACCTTAAAACAGTAACTAGATTTTACTTTTTTATTTTCTCCAAATACCTCATAACTCTGTCCACCCAGACTTAGACAGATGGATTCGAACCTAAGACTCATGGCTTTCATGCCACTTCATTAACCACTAGGCCACACCCTTGAATGCGATCAATTTATACTACTCGGGAGGGGACTCTTTAATTCTTATATCATACCAAGATTCTTAGCAACAAACTGAAGAAAGAATCACAATACCTTAATGAGTATGAAATAAATAGTAACCAGTAAAGTTGATTTCTTTCAGCTCAAGAAAATAGTACAAGGATCCTATGAAACTAAAACAAGAGGTTTATATATACTCAGAAAAGACGTGTGTGAATTGCATAGCTGGGGTTGGATTAAAATATATATACTACAAATAAATAGTCATTTATATGATGTTTAGAAAATTAAAATAAATGTATTAAAACGATTAATATAATCTTAGTCAAAGAAAAAAGTTGTCAGTGACTACGTCAAACAAAATGCAACTGAAGAAAAGTCTAAAAATAAAATGATTTTTATTTCCAAATTCAATAATTTTCCTTTTAATATCACAATAGAACTGTAAAACAAAACATAAAACAAATTCCCTTTCGACAACCCTAAAATCAATTCTCTCACAATCAAATTCAAACACGCAAAAAAAAAAAAACCTAAAATATTAGAGGATTTCACTGAAAGCTGAAAACATGGAGTTACGAGTCGTTAGAGAGAGAATGAGATTACTTTTACTCGCCGCCGGTTGACGATTGCCGGAGAACTCAACAGAGAATTAATTGTAAGTGCTGTTTTGCTGCAGTGTAGAAAACCTGTGAAGGAGAGGAGAATCGGGATTTATAAAAATCGGATGGACCGGGACTGACCGGTTCAGCTAAGGGAGTACGCAAAGACCGGAATTGATGATTAGTGGTATTTTTTTTTTTATCCGTTCCAAAAAGAATAATCATTCTAAATTTGGAAATAATTTTACTTAAACATACTTTTATAATCACACAAATACTCTGGCCCCTTTTTGAATTGTTTAGAACCATAAATTCTAAAAGTATTTATTTTTTCTTAAACTTTGTGCTCATTCAAACAGGTTCACATAAATTCGAAGGAACGAGCGAGTAATAGATTTTGAAAAACTAATTTCCTTTCATGTCTTATGACAACCAACTAATATATCAATCAAATTAACTAATCTTTAATACTCACTCCGGTTTCTAGTCCCAAATATTAGTCTTTTTATCAAAATTAAAATTAGTTTAAAATATTTAATATTGCAAGAAAACAAAAAGTCATTTATTATAGTACCTTATTTTTCAAATTTACACTTAGTGCTCCAATTAGTAGTGTTAATTGAGTGAAACGTAACTTAGAGAAATTGTCTTATGATTAAGACTATTAAATGTCTTTCTTTAAGAATTGTAGAAAAATTGTAAAAGACAAATAATATGGATAGAAGAGAGGACTGATTAGTTAATTATGTTTTATATTCATCATCTTTTCATTTAATTGTATTCTATTCTTAGTTAATACGCATTGGCTTCGAGATTTTCAAGTACTTTACATTTTGAATAAATTTCTAACAAATGTAATGAAGTATTAAATACAACTATTCCATCTGTTTAGTTTATGGTTAATTGGTTGTTATAATGAAACTTCTCATATCTAATTTTTTAGAGGACATATGGAGTTTAGTGGACTTAATAATTGAACAAATTTTAGTGGACTAAATTTTTTTCTTTTTTGAGATTTTGATAGAATACATGTTATGCTTAGCCATCACAGAAGCTGAGTGGTGATATTTGTTAGAATAAAATATGCACTTAAAGTGTTTGTTGTACATACAATATTATATGTACATGTTTGTATTGTTCTAAGAAGTTAAAAAAAAATAGTTTGGTATTATGGTCTTCTTAGTTGTCTCGTGTTGAAAAAGTAAATATTTGTACTAAAAAAGTGGAAACTTAAGTGAAACAAAATAGAAAGAATAGAAAAAGAAAGAGTAAGAAACGAAAAGAGAAAAAGATGAAAATGATAGGAAAGTTCATATACGTAGCAAAATCTTTATGGAATATATAAATGAAAATACTAAAAAACTAAGAGTAACTATTTATAATTAATCTTTGATGTTTATAATTAATTTGAACCAATAATAAGTCCAAATTCGTCTTCCATTTTTTTTGAAAGGATTGTAGGAAAACGATAGAACCATTTCATCCTTAATGAGAACCCTCGAATTCGAACTATATGAATGAAAAAGCTCTTGTTAGAAAGTATTTTTTCTCTTTATCGACGTTCTACCTCACAAATTCATATTAGTTAGTCCAAAACGAGTACCAAAAAAAGACTAAGTCGGCTGCTTTGGATTCAACTACCAAACCATAAAACTGTCGGGTATGAAAAGGTGAAGGGGGACCATAATTTCTCTTTTCTTTTTAAGGAAGGTATTGTTGTTTAAATTTGATTGCTATTCTGCAAGATATTATATGGACATTTTCCCTTTATGTACTCAAAGACACATGCGAATCCAAAATTTTAATTTTATGAGTTACTATAACAATCTCAAGTTAATTTTCATGATAACTGGACCAACGAACCGAGTTCCAAGCTAAATATTCTTATACTTTTAATAAATTTTTTAGTACAAATACAAAGTTTATGCAAAAGTTACTGGATTCACGGGAACCCGTAAAGTTTGCTCTATATCCGCCCCTTAGTCAAAGGGACATGGCTAATAATCAGCCATACAAATTATTTGTCCTTTTCTAATTCGCCTCGTCAATTTCTAATAAACTAAACTATCAATCATATTAATATTACATCATTATCCACATAAAAGTGTTGGAAAAAAAAGTTATTTGAGAACACTAGAAAAGACTAAGAAGCAAAATGTTGGAAAAAAAGTTATTTGAAAAACGGAGTTGACTATAAACTTCATCTCTTATAGATCTTTCTTATAGATCTTAAGGAGTTTTTTCAAAGCTAAACTGCCCGTATACTTCTGCCGTAGCAAAATCACACGTGTTTACTTGGTGTATAATCTTAGCGTGTTTACTTGATGTATAATCTTAGCAGTATCTTCCATCAGCGTTTTAAATCGATAATATGTCTTTTATACTTGGCTAGAAATGACCTAATGCTAGAATATAGGTGACAAAATTTTAGATCACTACATAAATTTGAGAACATATGCACGTCAACATAACAAAAAAAACAAATGATTTCGCCAGACAAACACAACTATGCCTCAACCCGAAGCGACTCCATATTGCTCCATTTAAACCCGTCTCAGTCCAGTACTGTAAAACTTAGTTTTACCTATGTACAAATGCACCAAAAAAATTTCATTGATCGTGCAATATACACAGAAGAAATGAGTCTGTTAAAAAGTTATACTCATTGATAAACAAAAACCAAATTCTCATACTAACTTTCGTCATTATATCTATATAGAGTCTAGTACTGGAGATTGCTTTATTGCCTTTTGTGTTAAGAGATTTGTCGAACAGCCACCTTTGCTGTTCCCCTAGACGGAAGTAAGGGAATGAATATCTACAAAAGATTAAAAACTCTTAGCAAGAACAGCGAAAGATAGAACATTTTGCTTTTTCGACTATTTTGCGGACGCCCGTCTCCTGAGGAGTATAGGGGGACACTTGAATTCTGTCCATTATATTGATCTTAGGGGCATCAAGGATTGTCTTAGGCATTGATAACGCCCACTGCATGCCCCAAATTGAGAGAGGCCTCATATATATCAGAGATCGAAAATGTCCATCCATGGTCCAACCTTCAGGCGTTTGAAATGAGTATCTGCATGATAAAATGGAAAGATAAAGCCACATAAGAAACCTAAAGCAAAGAGCACAAACTAGCAAATTGTACTGTTAGCTTATATGTTGGCAAGTTAATTAAGTCACAGACCAAAAAGATGTTTGAACCAGGGTTAAATGTAGATAAAATAAAATGGATTTTCCAATGAGATAATCCTTTTATTTTCAACATTTCCACCGTTCATGGGACAAAACAGATTGGAGGTATGGTGGCCTGATTCTTTTGGAGCGTTGTGATGAAGGAAAGAAATATCATCCGGCATCACTGTCCTTTAGCATTTTAGGAGGCTAAAGGACATTTGCAGTATGGAGAGAAACGTATTGATGAATGAAATTACTTCTGCACAGCTGCTGGATTTAACATATAAGGTTATCAATCAAAAAAGCACTTTTGGTATTGGTATGGTGTACTGTACATAATTTGTTGGTGAGAGATATCCTAGGTTTCAACATCTCTCCATTGTTTGGCCAGACTTAGTGCATGCACTAGAAGGGCATATGCCACAGTTAAATTAGAAGAGAGAGTGCCGGCAATTTCCACAACAAGATCGGATAAAATGCAATGTAGTTGTTTTATGTGATGGATTACTTGATATGTTATGGATTTATCAAAAAATAATGCTGTTATGAATCAAGAATTATGCCTAACCAATCGATCAAATATGTACTGTATGATCTCTTTCTTGTTATCAGTGTGTTCACTTGCTATTCTTAAAGCAAAGTATGTATAGTACTACTTAAAAGTAGTGTCTCCCATGCTTCAAACATTTAGGAGTCTGAGTCTGATGTCATGTTGATAAAGAGGAGTAGCAAAATTAACTCATGGAGTTGCCTAATGTTTTACTTGTATATCATCCAGCTATTTATCATGTAAAAGTTCACCAAATGATACACGGGAAGAATGATATAGCAACGTACCCAAAGCCATCCTCTGACCAGCCTGCAATGAATATGCCTTCAGCTGTAGTGAACGCCTGCTCCTCCATACCAGCATGAAGCATGGTGGCAGCCAAACCATACGTGACACCAGTCCATATCTCGCGGGATTGCATGCAAGTCTCATCCACCTTTCCATTTGGATGCATTCCATTTACTGCACCCATTCTGCCACCACGAACTTTCATGACATTGAAGTCATAAATTTTTTGAAGAGTACTCTTGATCTTTACGCCATCGAAGAGATCAGGCAAGCCGGATGATGCCATGTACCACTGTCCAGCAAGCTGATCGGCCTGAATCGACTTACTGTTACTACTAGATCCACTGTCATAGTTAAAATATGAGCCGTTCCACAATTTTGCCTCAAACACTGTCTTGGCTTTTATCAATCTGCCTTTGCATTTTTCTGCAAAGGCGTAGTCACCCACGTGCATGGCCATTGCAGCTGCAGCTTGAAGTGCAGCTAGCCATAAACCACCACAGTAAGCACTTATTCCATGAACCGTCCATGTATCATACGTTTGATCAGGGAAACCATCGTTTTCAATTAGGCCATCATTGTCACGATCAAATTGATCCATATATTCAATTGCAGCACATACAGAAGGCCAGACATCTGTAGCAAAGGAGAAATCTCCCGTTGCAGCAAAGTCCCTATAGACCTGAAGCACAAATTTCGGATTTAGATCCTTCCATTTACTAGTATCATGTATGTTATAGGCATTCATTTCGTGCCAAGGATCATGCATTCCAAGATCGTGAGGAATAGCCCCCCTCGCCTTCCGTATTCCCCAATTACCCTCTGCCAGAAACTTCACTTTTCTTCCATCTTCACACAAGACTGCTTTGGCAAACTCCCGCTGGATGCTGAGCTCAATTTTAGGAAATAAAGCAAGAAGTGCAAAAGAGGCATAGAAGTGCACATCATATGTACACCACATAATATATTCTACACCTTCCAAGTATAGAAACCTACCCACATCATCACTGCCAGTAATAATTGATTCTGAAATCTTATCAGAACTTGAGAAATGGTTGCCTTCCCCATAACCATTATATGCCGTCTGTTCCACTTGTACACCATTTTTATAATTCGATTTGACTTTAGTTACTTTGACTTCATTGCTCGGTCTCGTTATTCTGGTACTAACTGAGTCTGAAGAAGGAACACCAGAGTCTACAAAAGTGAGAGTAAAGACAAGATCAACAAATTAATGATTTAACGAATTTAAAAAGAATAATGAGCCACTCTTTGTTCCCAGAGCAACATGTTGAACAGGTAGTATATCCAGGCAACAGATGAGTGATGAAACCCAATTCTCTCACATGAAATTGTTTATTTGATGTACGTACTCATACAAATCTGCTAGAGCTTCTACTGAAATATCTGATTCAGCTGAGTAAAATAACGTTGTGACATTTTAAGGACAGACTAGAATATTGAGAGAGAGAGAGATTTATGAATCTAGAGACTTCCTATGGAGACCTTCTACTCAAGGTAAGCATGATATCCTGAGACTTTGGTAACCCCGCTACGGGAAGTGATTGAAGTAGTGGAGGAAAATACAGGAGACGAAGAAGATGCCACAAAATCCTATCCACTGCCAAGATATAACTATCCGATTATCCATGAAATAATAAAGATCTCTAAAATAGTCACAGGACATTTTCATCTCCTCCTTACAACTCTGCAAGTAAAATTTTGAGAGACTCAGACCGCGTGGCCACTCCTCCTAGAGTCCCACAAACTATAGACTTAGTAGGATGCTGCCGACTTTGGAAGAATTCCACTCAAGGTTCAAAAGAATAACAGAAGAGAGCAGCAGAAGCAATCACGTGTCTTCCCTCAACCCACAAAAACCTCTACTCATCTGTGTAGACTAGGAAACACACCCAATCATCCATTCAGAACCAATAGGCGTTTCAAGCGGCAAAATGAGAGATTTAATATAGCACTTATAATGTGGGATTCATTCAAGAAATTAAGATAATAATAAGCTTATATTGTAGAATGAAAGAAAAGAAGAATACCAATCCACAATGTTCCACCAGCCACCAGAAAATACAGCTCGTTAAACAGTGTAAACTTGTACCTGTAAAATTCAGAAGTCGTAATAGTTCAGCACTACACCAGACATATATATTTCGATCGCTATGTGAACAGAGCATATAAATAGTAATATTCACCTACAACTCATGAAAACGTACAAACACAAAATAGTGAAATATGAACTTTGTAAATGGCAGTAAATGTAAACAAGCTACCAATAGCTAGAAGAAAGAGTGAAAAGTACAAAAGTAATACAATAACTAAGCCTCAGTCTCAAACAAGTTGGAGTCTGCTATATCAATTCTCAGTAATCATGTTTATCCATTTAAACTCGAGCCAAATTTATACAAATAAACATAAAAAGTATTAGAAGTCCTTAACATTTTCTACCGGCATATAAATCTCAGACAAGTCTAAAAAATTCCTAAAAAGCTTAGGACCTAAAGTAAATGTACTAACATGACTAAAACATATTCCCAACTATTCGGTATCGCCTATATACTTTTTTCTTCTTCCATTGAGCCCTAAGTCTGCATGGACTCCAAGAGGAAAAAAGTATAAAAGTAATAGCAATTTAAAAATACAAGTAAATTGTCAAAACAACTAACTTCAAAATTGTTATCATTCGGGCCACTTCACATTCAGGAAAATATTATAAGAAAAGAAAAGGCAACAGCGGTTCTCCCTTCACATTCTTCACCTGTCCCATTCCATGTCTGACCACTCGAATGGCATGTGTCAAAAGGAAAGACTAAAATAATGGTCACTATAATAGGCTCTAGCATGTATTTTCCAACCTCACTTCATGTACCGTGTTTGACTTCAAAATAACACTGATGAACAACTAGTTCTGTGGTTTATAAGAAAATCATGAAATGTTACCGGACTACTTTAATTACGCACAATATAGTTGTTTCAAATGGACCACTCATATGTGGAATTATTTGAATCTTCCACTAGCAGGAACACAGAAAGCAAGGAGTATATATAATATATTATGTGATAAAATCTTGGTAAAAACTCTATGTAATTGGATGTATGCAGTGTTGGTAAGTCGTACAGATCTTATCGCAAAGTTGTTCATGTTAATTTTATTTTAACCTTCCGTTCTCAAATTATGCTTATGCTCGTGATGATAACTAATGCAAAAAAGCATAATGCTATTTTAACAATTGCAAAAACTCTATAAAACATTCAAACTTACCATTCTGGTAGCCTAACATCATTAAGGATAGGATTCTGCCATTTCTCAATTTCTTCTTCCCACAGCTTATAATCTGATCAATGTAAAAGAATAATAACGCCATCAATTAGTAAGCACAACTAAGAAATTAAACAGGAGCCTAAGCAGAAAAGGAGACACTCACTTGTCAAAGAATGATGAACCAAATCTACAGCAGCCCTTTCAGAAGTTCCATAGAACCGTGTGTACCTCCTGTAGCAAACCCCCACACCAAGGAGAAGGAAAATAAAAGAAAGAAAAAGAATAAGACAAGTGTCCCCTAACATATAGGACTTTAAGGAAAATTAATAGCTTAACAAACTCGGCTCTAAAATATGATAATAGCTTGACAAACTTGACTCTAAAATATGACGAACTCCTGATATAATGATGACAGAGATTCCTTTCTTGTTGCCTATTCACCTCCTTATGATTTACATTTTCGAGGATAATTGTGCTGAACACATTTATAATCAAAATACTTATGTTTTAGAATTTAGACAAAAGGTAAATATGCAGAAGTCTCAAAAATTCTAAATTTTAACAATATGGGAACACAATTTATATAATATGAAATATTACCTATAATATGACTTTCCTTTCATGAATTTAACTTGAGGAGATGACCAAGCAACAGCAAATGCCACGGTACATTTTCCATGTGGTTCAACCCATGCGGTTGCAGAAACTGCAGCACAATGTGTCTCCCCAGGTGATGATGGCATGCTTGGTCCTTTGCTGAAGTTCTCTCGATCAAAATGCCCATCCTTAAAAAACATACAAGGCAATCATGAGAAACATATATAATAAAGCCAAATAGAACTAGTGTTGATAGAAATTTTAAACCCCTATAGACTGATGCAGGACTTGTCTCCAGATACGATAAAAAGGACGATAATGGACCATCTGTTCAAGGTTCAATGACGCACCGAAAAGTCTTAACTATCAGAAAATAGTTTAAGCTATTACCTCAACCATTTTACCCCACATATCCTTTGCTGTTACACAGCTTCCCTCAGACATGCCGAAACAGGGTAAAACAGTAACGCTGACATTCTGAGTTTCGCATGCAGCTACAGCGAAAGTAACAGGAGGATTTTCTTTTGTCCTGCAGCCCAGCCAACAACACAAGAGTTAACATGACACTCAAAATTTCAACTTACAAAAGTGAGCCCACAAAAGAGGGGGGAAAACCCGACCATGATGCATGGAATAAAAGTCGTTTTCCCTTTTGTTATGACCAAAGATGTCAGTTTCCCCAGAGGGACACCCCTCAGAAAGGTCAATAATTGTTACTAGCAATTAATACCATGTTTTTCTCCTCATTAAAAGCAACTCAAGACCATCACCGAGGGAAAGCCGCCAAATCAAGGCAGTACAGTAATAAGCAATAACAAAGCACTAGCTTGCTAAACCAGAAAGAAAATATAAGCTTGTTATCATTTTAATCTTTTGCTCTACTCAAAAGTCAGTCTGTCATATGGATTAGTTAATACTGTACACAGACATCCCCTTGCCTCTTTGAGTTCAGGTCGCGTGCTTCAAAACCTCACAGTGGATAACTGTCTCATTAAAGTAAATGTTCAAATGAGAAAAGTTTCGAAGTCCCTCATATCTCGTATGGGTAAAACAGAGGAAAATTGTCCAAAACCAATATGTGTTCTTTGATGGTCAAAAGTTTATACTAAAAAAAGAATAATGGATGACTATTCTATAATGGCTGAAAGAATTAGGCCTGTCCCTTGTTTTAACAGCAGCTCTTAGCTCAAGAGAAGGGATCAATTAAGACTTAAGAGCCCAGAAATATAAAGGATATTTTGATAGCACTATGAAACACTACTCTCCAACTTAATCCTAGATCTTGTATTTTATTGACTAGTCAAATCGTCAGGATAAAAGAAGACATATTTAGTGTCTCTCTGGAAGTTGTTTGTAACTTTTGACATCTTAGAGATCCACAATTGCCCTTTTTCACTTCTCCAGTCACAACCTTTCCTTGACTTTCACCAACTAGAAAACTGAAAATACCAAGGAACATCTGCAAACCAACCGTCATATCTAGCTAATAAGGTTTGATGACTTGCTTGTGATGTAGGAGTACGCCAGAGACTCCATCTTCACCTCTGTCAAAAGTAAGATAAATAAGGGTTGAAAATCAATTGCAAAACCACAAGTATATGGAAGCTAAAAGAGATTGAATGATAAATACTCACATAAATGGTTCGTTCGCGTGATCTCCTGATAGGTGTGAGACACCTCCAATTGAATTCTGTATAAAACAAATAATTGTGACTGAATATTGAATAATCCCATAGTATTTTACTGAATCGAACATAATCGCAATTCGCAACAACCAGAAGTGTGGAACCACTTACCGCCCATGTAAGAAGAAGGCTAACTTGTGCCCTTTCCTTCCCAGTGTTCACCAACTACCAAAGAAACAAAAGAAAGACGCTAATAAGCACACAAGAGGAGCAGTTAATTAAGTCCCTCAGATCAAATTTAATGCTGACATTAGGTAACATCACTTCATTAATTTCCAAAAGAATTATGACTTTTTGCATTAGAGTAACGCATGTTTGCATTTTACAAAAAATTTATGGATCAAAAAAAGTCCAAAAACAGCATGTTGGAAGATATTTGTTGAAGTCTTGTCATCATCTTATCAACTGATCTTGATTTTTTTTTTGTTGATAAAATAGATAAAATCTTGTCGTTCTCTGGCCGAGGGTCTATCGGATACAACCTGTCTTCCCTTCCAGGGGTAGGGGTAAGGCTGCATACATCTTACCCTCCCCAGACCCCACTTGTGGGAAACTACCAGGTTTGCTGCTGTTGTAAAATAGATAAAATCTTATCAACTGTTCTTGATACACATCACAGGTATCATGCATAAATAGAACTTTCTATAGCTCTATCACTTGTCTACGCCAATAAAAAATATGGTCTATTACAAACAATAAAGAACGTCGTTAGACAAGATCTCTAATTGTGCAGAGTTCAGAATAGATTGAGGTGTAGACAATTTACAATTTGGTAAAAATTAGTTCATACCGAACACTCAAATCGGGTTGTAAAATAGCTCAAAAAAGTGACAACGAAATTCTGAGACAATAACACAGGGATAACAGTAGAAATAGCAGGATACTCCTACTGATTACTGATCCCCCCCAACAGAGACAAATATGTTTACTTTTCCTCAAATGACACAATTGACTTTCTTGCAAAGAGAAACAGCTAATGGTGAATAAAGAATGCAAAAAGTGATAATTGGCATTTACGATTCTGAGTATTGAAGATAGCATTTATGAAAATATTGATCCGCATGAACCATTAACGTGACTTTTAATTCCACCACAAGACAAGATCTTCATAGATGATAGCTCGTGCTGCAAAGTTGCATTTAGCATCCTCAATTGTGTTTCACTTCGTGATCATGCAATAGATGTATGAATTATATTATGGTCAAAGGGAAGTCATGAATCATAAGAATGGCAATTTTATTTTCTAAGTCATTGAATTACAGTTACTTCATCAGATTAAAGTATCACATGATTCTAGAGAACGAGAAGCAGCATAAAAAGGTTATATAGCAGGACTTTAAAGTATGCATACAGTGTAAACAAAAACAGATGTAGGAAGGCTGCTCTCTCTGTAGTCATGTGGGATGAACGGTGATATTTGCCGACAAGAAACTTTCAGTTCTGGGTCTGGTTCACCTGGATATGAAAGGAAAAATTAAAATGAAATCTATAGAAACTGAGTCAACATATCAGATAAAGAAATACTCTAGATGAGTAGCACAGTACCATCATATACTGTCCAAGCCCTAGGAAAGAGTGCATGATATGTAGAATGCTGTCCACTCAGATTCCAGCCCCACGACGATATACCATGATCACTTGCTTTCCTGTAAGAGGAAGACCATATAGACATAAGAATCTTCTCATTTTACCTTTCCCTCCTTTTCTATTCCCTCTTGAAATGTAATGGAATTCAGCTATCAGGTCAGGGTTTTTCAGAGTAAAGCTTATTTACTTCATGATAAACAAATCAATTCGCACCTCGTTTCAACATAGTACACCTCCTGTACGCATTAGCACAAAAGCGACAGGTGCCAGTTTAATTGAATTACCAACAGTATGGCATCAAAGGGACTTTTTTTCATTTTCTATCTTCGAGACAAATTTCAGCAAGGTGGTCCATCAACTGCTAAACTTTCTCTTTATTTCAACAGAAGATTCATTTTTTTTTTCTGCTAAATATGGTATGTGATCGAGTTTGGAAGTTGATTTTTCTTTTAGTTCAAAGATTCCAGTGATCTAGCTAATGAATGCAAGAAATGGATAAAAAATATCAGAAACGGAAGGAAGATGGATGTTAAGGAACATAAGTGTTCTCAGAACGCCCTCCTCCACTCCCCCA